GCTAGAATAATAATAGACCAAAGCTCTTCCTAAGATTGTGGATCGTTACAATGTGTGGAGAGAGCTACCAAGAAACTGAAAAAAAAACTGTGGAAACTGTGAAGAAGATTGTGGATCTTTATCAAGTCTGCAAAGCGTTAAAGAGAAACTGTAAAAAACTGTGGATTTTTATAAATGCTGCGGGGAGGATATCCAAAACGAATTGGATAATTTATTCGATACAGCACACGCTGATGTTCCCATAAGAATTAAAATGCAAAAGAAAAAATGTTCTTATAAAATGCAATGAGGGTCATGGCGATCGGATAGTTTAGGGGGTGTTGTAGACAAAAAGTACGATAAGCCGATAATTTTTTTTTATTTGAGCAGATTTTGAGTCGCACCATAGATGTCAAGAAGGTCCCTCGATCGTTTTGGTGGCCAGTGATGACGGTAAGGCCCCAGGATGTGAAAAACGGTTCCGGACTCGGGAAAAATCCGTCACCTCGGTTCGCTTCCGGTCCCACATCGTTATGACGAGTAGGATCTTCTTTTTTCCGAGTCCTCCCATCCGTTTTCTTTTATCATATGAGCTAATTCGATGATAAATTTACCTTCTTTGTACTTTTGGCTGGATTCGAACGCGTGCTCCTATAAATAAAAATAAACTATGCATATCATAGGAGACGAAAAATTAGAAGAAGTGACTGATTTTCGTTATCTAGGAAGTCAGATAAGTCAGGACGGAAGGAGTAGTAGGGATATAAAGTAGAGAATAGCGCAGGGTACAGTTGCCTTTAATAAAAAGAAGTCACTTTTATGTTCGTGAACGGTTAATTTAGAAATTCGAAAAAGGTTGATAAAGGTGTATGTTTGGAGCGCGGCGTTATACGGGTGCGAAACATGGACCGTGAGCGCGACGGAAAAGAAAAGGTTAGAAGCCTTCGAAATGTGGTGTTACATGCGAACGATGAGGATACCGTGGATAGAGAAGGTTAGAAATGAACAGGTATTAGAATGAATAGGAGAACAGGAGATAGGACACCTTCTCAAGTATGAAGGTCTAGTCAGAGACATATTAGAGGGAGAAACGGCAGTTAGGAGGAGTAGAGGTAAACCAAGATTAGATTACTGTTCGCAAAATGTTAAAGATGTGGGTTGCTTTAGTTTTAGGGAAATGCGAAAATTAGCTCAGGATAGGAAAAGGTGGAAGTGCGTGTCCAACCAGTCTTAGGACTGACGACTTTATGATAATGCATATCATAAGTTGAACGTTTTATGTAGTACAAATCAAAATAAAAAAAACATGATTATTAGTAACTTCCGTAGAATTAGTTTTTTCTCTTTCTTTTCTTAATAGTTAACTAACACATCGTAGTAATAAGACGGTATCCTTGCAAGACGGAGTTAACATTGCAAGTGTCTTATAACACAACGTTGTGACAACACGGTGAAAAACTGCAATATCTTGTTTATATTACGGTTAACACACTGATAACACGGTACTAAAATTTTAACAGCGCTTTTATAACACAGTGCAAAACAACGTAATGTAGACATAGTCCCCATATGGGATAGAAGTTGGAGCAGTTCTTAGATATAAAACACAGCGTCGCATTAACGCGGTATCCTCGCAAAACGGAGTTAACATTGCAATTGTCTTATAACACAACGTTATGACAACACGGTGAAAAACTGCAATATCTTGCTTATATTACGGTTAACACACTGATAACACGGTACTAAAATTTTAACAGCTCTTCTATAACGCGTTGCGAATTAATGTTCCGATAACATGGTCTCCATATGGGATAGAAGTTGGAGCAGTTCTTACATGTATAACACAGCGTCGTATTAACGTGGTATCCTCGCAAAACGGTGTTAACATTACAAGTTTTGTGTAACACGGTATTAAAATTGTAACAGGGCTTCTACAACACGGTGCAAAGCAACATATTGATAACATGGTCCCAATTTATTACTTATGGAGTGTTTTGAAGATGAACCTGGTGCGGTGCCGGAACATGGTTCACACTCTCGGAAGTAAAGAAACAGACACCTTAATATGTATTTCAATTAATAGCGTGCAGCGATAAAACAGAAGAGTTCCTTCCTCATTTATCTTCATCAGTTTATGAAATTTTTGATTGAACCCGAGTATCCATCTACATGTAAAAACATACGAAAATAAAATGATGGTAAATATTAATGAAAAATTGACTTACATATTTCCAGCCTAGAGTCGTTTTACAACATTCGCAATAAATGTCTGCTACAGCATGAAGGCCTGTTAAAAGGACCCGTTCTTCGGCTGGACCACACCCTACATTCACCCTGAAATGATAACAAGTATTGTGTTATACTTTTAAGTAGATAATAGAAATACGTATGTGACAAGTACATAAACTTTTATTTTCAATATGCGCAAATACATAAACATTAATTAAATACAAAAAAGTATTTCCAGCGCTAATATCCCTTACAATTTCAGATCATGATGTTAGACAATATAATCAGAGGTACAGGCCTGACGCTGGAAGCTGGCGGAAATTTTAAAATGGCGTGGATGCGCGGTGGCAAAATTAGGCAGTTTTATGTATAACAATTGCAGCCCTCTTTCTTCAGTATCCCTGTCAGGGGCGTAGATTAAATATTTAAAAATAGGGATCAGTGAGCAAGTAATAGTCATTCCCATGATGACAGTGAATGTGAAAACTAACTATTGGGATCCGTCAAATGGGCATACACCATCTGATGGCAAAATTTATAACTCGAATGAGGGAAAAATTTACATAGGAACTGTGCAAGCAAATTGTAAAATTGTTTATTAAAATAATAAAACACGTTCAAAAAGTAAAAATTTTTTTGATGATGAAGTTTTCTTCTAAAGTTAAATCAAATAAAAAGTTAATATGTTCAGTGAAAAGCTGCAATAGCACTTCAGACTTAGATCTTCACTCTTCACCTACATTAACTACTTTCCAATAAAAACTAACCGTTCTATATATGTAAAAAATATATTCGGAAAATTAGAGAAAAAAGTAAACTAATAGAAGCTTGGATGAAAGCAGTAGGTATCAAAGAAGTGAATTCCGGAATAAAAATTTGTTCACGTCATTTTAATGCACATGATTTTATTTCAGCAAGTTTTTACCATCAGCCATAACCTTAATATTTAAAACTAGAATCATATTAAAATTATAAAGTGAGAAATTCTTTATTTCTGTGTAATCGATTTAACACAATTCTAATGAAAGGATATATGTATTTTGAGATTAAGGACCTACCTGCTGCAATACAACAAAGTTGCAATAATGCGTTTGCAACGTTCTCTTAAATCGGCTTTACACGTGCAAGTCATTGATATGATATTGCTTAAATCACCCAGAATCACCTCACCAATTATATAACGTGAATCACTTCTTAAATCCGAAGTTTGTAAAAAGTAGGCAGTAAACTTGACGGAATAGGCTAACATCCGAATTTGTTATTTCCAAATTTTATATTGGCATTAAAAACACGCTCACCTTCAACGAAATTTCCTTTCCGAGGCTTTGTGTCAGCACAATCACATATTGTGTCAATACTTATCATTTTATCGTAATTTAAAAACTTGGAAATTGCACGGTACACTATAGGAACTACAATAAATTTTCCCTAATCGGCGCCATGTTTTTAGGCTCCTCCCATTTGACGGATCCCAATAAAACAAAAGCAATAGGTTTATTTTTTCTTTTTGTTAAGTTATGTTTCTACATTATTTTCTAGTACGCTACTGTCCTATCTGTATTAATACTACAATTTACGCCTACTGAAAGCTTATTTGTGTATCGGTTCCAAGTAACTTACCCAAATAGGTCATAAATGGATAAGTACCTGCGCGACAGCTCGCCAGCTTCCTTCGTCCGACCTGTACCCTGTTCGTATTCTCATTCCCTAATGCATTATCTGGGTCCATTCTCTATGGTTAAAACCTTGTTTTGTATCTCCTCGCCATTTAAATGCTTTTATAAAGTACGAAATTGTAACAGAACTGTTACATAACGCTTCCTAAGATAATAAAATTTTATTACGTCCCGTGCCATCCTGCTGAAACTGGTACACATCTTCTAAATGTAACCGATTATTTCCTGTTTTATTTTGAGGAGAATTCAAATTACTATATTAGAAGCAGTTATCTATATATACCTATGTATAATACATGCGAAGTCAAATAGGGAAAAAGGGTTTACTTCTCAAACAAATACCTTTTTACGAAAGTTAGTATAAACAGTTGCATATTTACGTGTAGGCCGAAGAGGCTGTAGCCCGAGGCAACTTAATTGTAAGGGGGACAAACATGTCTCCACTTTAATAATGTGGAAAATGACAGTTAATGCAGACTATGTCCGAACCTGAACGCGCTTATTTGTTGAATTGCATTTTCTTCTGAATGTATCAACTTTTACCATTTGCAGTCGAACTGAGTAATCAGGGTAGTTGCAATATTTAGTGTAGAAGTCCAGACTGGCCCAATTATATACAAAACTGATTTATTTGCTGATTTCGCTAATTTTATAAATAAGTGTCTTGGGGGGTTCCCAACAAAATTAACGAAAAAGACGTTCATTTCTGTATCAACATCTCATAGTGGATACTTTTAAGTGCACGGTGAAGACAACACTATCATTGCTTTGTAGAATGAAAACGGGACTAAATTCAGGAATTGTATGTTGTTATATTTTTAAATATTCGCAAAGTTTAATCATTGATAGAGTTAGCAAAAGCGTAAATCTTTTTATTCGGGAGTGTATGTATTCTGGGAGAAGGCTAGAATAATAATAGACCAAAGCTCTTCCTAAGATTGTGGATCGTTACAATGTGTGGAGAGAGCTACCAAGAAACTGAAAAAAAAACTGTGGAAACTGTGAAGAAGATTGTGGATCTTTATCAAGTCTGCAAAGCGTTAAAGAGAAACTGTAAAAAACTGTGGATTTTTATAAATGCTGCGGGGAGGATATCCAAAACGAATTGGATAATTTATTCGATACAGCACACGCTGATGTTCCCATAAGAATTAAAATGCAAAAGAAAAAATGTTCTTATAAAATGCAATGAGGGTCATGGCGATCGGATAGTTTAGGGGGTGTTGTAGACAAAAGTGAGAAGGAAGAAAGGGCAAGATACAGAAAACTTGCAAGAAGAGAGGAAGAAGCTCAGGCAAATGCCTGCATTGACATCTTTTACTTCACACGACTTTATACCACCTCAGGAGCTGCGTATACGACTAATCTACTACAGTGGAATTCGTTTATTATGACTCGACCTATATTGACCAACCACTTAATATGAAGTAATTGAAGTGTTAAGTTTGGTTTTCATATTAAATTCTCCATAGGAAAGTTGGGATATAATGACTCCGTTTAAAATGGCATATCGTTTATTATGACTGATTCTCAAGAAATTATATCCGGCTATAGTGACCCATAATGACTAATAATAACATTTTCGCTCATTTTTCTGACTCTTCTTATGAATATTGATATTACAATTCATCGTTCTTTTTCTTTATCTGTTAATATATAGATACAATTTGTAGTTTTTCTCTTTATTAAACTAAATAATCAACCGAAATAGAAGGTTGCTTATTTTCTAAGACTATGCTTTGTATGACGCCCGCTTAGTATGACGTGTTTGTCACTTCGATGTCATTATAAGCGGATTCTACTGTAGTTCTGAAGGAAGCTTTAAGAGATGTTACATCTCAATCTGTATGTTCTGTAGCTAGTACAAAATTCGTGAATTATAAGCTTTCTTAGATAACAGTCTTATAAGGACTATAAAGTATTCGGACTTGACCGGTGACAACAGTTCCGAGGAAAATTTCTTAAACAAATTAAGGGTAAAGGTCTAGATGATGGCCCCCACCCCCGAAGCGGTTGGTGGTGGGATAACACGGTACTAAAATTTTAACAGCGCTTTTATAACACAGTGCAAAACAACGTAATGTAGACATAGTCCCCATATGAGACTGAAATTGAAACAGTTTTTACATGTATAACACAGCGTCGCATTAACGCGGTATCCTCGCAAGACGGAGTTAACATTGCAAGTGTCTTATAACACAACGTTGTGACAACACGGTGAAAAATTGCAATAACTTGCTAATATTACGGTTAATACTCTGATAACACGGTACTAAAATTTTAACAGCTCTTCTATAACGCGGTGCAAATCAACGTTCTGATAACATGGTTCCCATATGGGATAGAAGTTGGAGCAGTT